GATGTCTATTCTATTAACATTTCTCTATCTGTAGTCTGTTTTATGTGTTGTCTTCTCAATTCAGAGGGGCCCCCTGCCTGTCTTTGCCTAGGGCCCCAAATTTCCTAAAGGCGCCCCTGCACACAATCACAAAAGGTGTGCAGGCCTTTAAAAATGATGACATAAGAGCTGGTAGCAAATGAAACAGTTTATGTACCAACAAATTATAGAACTAAAGGGATAATAACAATCATATATATATTAAAAAAAAAGGATAGAAGGATATAAATAAATAAATAAAAAGTTGACAGAAGAAAAAGATGAAAAAGGCAAAGAAACTGTCAAAACAAAGAAATCATGTAAGGTCTTATTTATAATTTACACATCACTCAGCTGATAGTATGTAGGTGAAGAGACTTGATGATATCGATGGAAAATGGTGAAAATGATCTAAAAGTTTTAGATCATAAGCATCAGATGGAAAAAGCAAACATCTTTTATGTGTCAAACAGAGAAGACTGAAGAGTTTCAGGTCAGTGTCATCGTCTGGCCTCAGAGTTTCAGATGAGAAAACCAGGCTGTTTCATATCAAACTTTCATCACACACAGGTTCTTTCCACCCGCTAATGAACCGCTAGTCATCTTTCAATTGATGAAATCCAATTAACCAGGAAAAATAAGAATTTATAACCCATCAGGATCCTGGCAGAACATGATGTTCGCTGCAGATGTCTTCTTCTCTGGAAAATCGGATTGATTTCATCAGAAGTACAACTACTGCTGCATAAAAAATTTAAAAAACGGTCTCGGATGAAGTCATTTAGGAAGAGTAACAGAGAAAGCATGAAACGTCAGACCCCAAAGACGTTAGCCCTGAAGGAGAGGAACACAAACCAGATCCTTTCAGACCCTGACGCTGCAAGAATCAAACGTCCCTCTGAGACAAGAAAATGGAAGAAATTACCAAACACTTATCTATGAGGCAATCTGGATGAGGATCTAAATAAACAGATCACAGACTCGCCGTCTTCCTTCCAAATATTTACCCCCCCTCTATCCTTTTCTTCACGCCGTCTTTACTCCAGACACTGGAAAAAAAGTGTTGTTCCTCTGAGAATAACAACAACCATGATATAATCATACCTGGCTAGGCTTTGAGGTTCTGGCTTCGTTAAAACGGGAGGGGGGGGTTAGAAAAAGAAAAGAATAATAGCGAAACAGGGGAGAGTTGTAAAAAATGAGGAATTTCAAATCCAGACAGAAATCTTTCCAGAAGACGTGAGTCACCTGCACATGCTCGCATTAAAGCGAGCTGTGAGAAGCCAGGAGGCAAGGAGGGTCAAAAGGTGTGAAAGGTGTGACAGTTCTGAGTAATTCGCTCTAATTTATTTCTGGTAAACAGTCAAAGATATAAAGTAGATAGGAGGACTGGTGACTCAAGGCTGCTACAGAGAATCCAGTGAAGTGGAAAACACAAAGAACTTAGACCGGACTACCAGTCCTATTGCAAATTCAGTCTTCTGGGTAAACTTTATCTCGTGAAGAGATCAAAATCTAATCAGGAGTTAAAGCAAACCAGTAATTTAAACAATTACAGTAAATAATAAACATTTTCCCATCTGAATAATGACCTGTATCCTGAAAAATTGCATTTGTTTGCGCTTTTAACTGTTATAAAGCTGTTTCTTCTTAAAAATGATGCGCAAAGTGGACGATGTTTGGCTTATTTCATGCATTTATCAGTAATCTTTATGGGTTTTCCTCTATAAGCAGTGGCCTTCATTATTTTTACATAGAGCAGTGATCGTCTCCTCCTGGAGGCGCCTCCTTTGACCACACTGCGCCTGCACTGCAAACAACACGCACGCTTTCTCCCATCAGGAAGCGCTGATGTGAGCCAGAGAGCCATCATTTCTGCTCCCAGTAGAGACAAAGTGGTAGCCTGGGTGCCATTCCGAACTTAGTCCCG